TTTGAAGCCGGGAGGCTCAGACTCACAGTCTCCAGATGCTGTGGAGGACTCCTCCTTGCTCAGCCCTCGCACCTGTGAAGCATGTGAAGAGACCTTGTGAATGCAGGGCTCTGGGGAGGCAGCACTCGCTGACAGCTCCAAGACTTTGCCTCTGCCGGATCTGCAAAGTCCCCGATCGTACGCAACTCTTCTTCACCTTGGCATGGTGCAGGACAGGAGTCGGATGGCAACGGAAGCGATACTCGTATGAGCTGGGAGCCGTGGGCATGAGTGCAGCTCTCGCCGTAGGGACAGCGCTGCAGCCTGGCAAGCGGATTCGCTGCAAATCCGAGGTCCTCACTTCAACTGGGGCCAGCGCAGGGCCCAGGAGGAGCAAAGCCTTCCGGGTTCGCTCCAAAAGCCACACCATGGCACAAGCGCTCCGAACCGAAGCCTTGTCTTGTAGAGGTCTGGGCGTGGGCGCAGCTGCGCAATGCCGTGAGCGAAGGTGCAGCGATTCCCACGGGTGCATTTCCCCTCCTTATAGGCCCGTGAGTTACTCTTTGCATGTGGCAAGTTCGGGACGATGCTCTGAATCCGGGCCAGTCTCTGCGAAGAACGCGCAAAGCTCCGTCTGCTTCACTGGCTGCCGCTTCTCGGCACGGCGAGATCGCTTGCCGCTGCAGCCTCCAGTCGCGGTTGAGCCCTCTGACCCGTCCAAATCCAGCATGCCCCCGTGTCGTGGCAACATGCGGCAACCAACTGGAACAGCTCACACACTGGTCACACTTCCGAAAGCCATTTGCAGCGCCTGGTTGGACCATGGTGCAAGAGGCAGCCAAGGAAGCAGGATTGAGATCTGATTGCGTGAGGCGGCGACTCTGAGCCAGTGCGATCTGGAGATACTTTCACATGCAGCGCAGGCAGCCAATCCGACGGCTTCAGACCCTTGGACGTGCCGACAGCTAGAGTTAGTTAGAGTTAGACACGCAATCCAACAGAGGTGGCCTCTGTCGAAACTGCTGCTGCCAGAGTCTTGGAATGAACATGAACGAATAACTTGATCTATAAATATCTACAAATGGGTACACTGTCCTTCGAAGCAAGGCGAACTTCTCGTCAGAAATGCCCAGACTCGAACTCAGCTCGTGCTCCTCTGCGCTTCAAAAGTCTCAGCACAAGCTCGAGTTTTGGCGCCCTCGGTCAGACCCTGCAGACCACGTTATCAAGCGTCTGCGCAAAGAGCTCCTCGTTTTGTGCCTTGGAGCTGTGCTCCACAGCCACAACCCTCGCAGTCTTCGAGTAGTCTTGGCGAAGTGCTTAAGCCGAAAATCGCTAAAGTCGCTGTGAACCATGTCGCCAATTCTGCTCCTGCCACTTGGCTGTTATTGAAGACCTAGGACCCCGTGTCGGCACAACAGTGCCTATATGGTATTGCTACGAATGACGAAACCTAGCTGAAGATCAGATCAGATACCAGCTGCCACAGTCCGCAATGCATGAATGGCCCGTTTGTTCAACGCAAACACCGTTCGTGCAAGTGGTCGCGGCCAAGTTGTTCTCAAGCCGCACCTGCATCCAACAATCTCCTACGATCTCCATGAGGTGAAGCCTTGCCCGCTCACGCCTCTTGAGGATCAACTAGCGAGATTGCGAGATGACAACTCGCAAAGGCTGTGGGGCCAGGGCCCCACCTTGAAATCCTTGAACTTGACTTCGTAAGAAGTCTTCGCGCCGCTCGCCTTCCAAAGCGACAATGTGAGAAAGCATTGCCTAGACGTGCCTAGACCTTCCAAAGCCTCTAGGCGACATCAAAAAGGGCTCGGCTTCCATGCAACTTTCGTGCCCGTACGTGTCATTGGGACGAGCACCTTCTCCTCCGGAGACCGGCGGCTCTCAGGTCGATTGGAACCTGGCACGAGGACCGAGGGTCTTCTTGGAGGCTCCGAGACGCCCCGAAGGAGGAAACCTTGGCCCAGTCAAACCGGTCGGACCCACCACTTGGAGGAGCTCTTGTCACCTCGCTCAACATTTCGAAACATTGGAGGGATGTACTCGAACGAGCCACTCATGTATGGCTCGGGCGGGGGACGTCTGCTGTTAACATAACAGCGAGTTTGTGAAGACATGCCTTTTTTACCGCTCCCTGGCGACTGATGTGGTTGGGGGTTCCCCTGCGCCCCCATGTGTGTATTACTCGCAGCTGTGTATTGCTCGGGGGGTCCATGCCCGAAGACCCCGAGTACATTATCTGAGCAGGAATATCAAGCAAAAAGCGTACCGGAATCCTTACTGGGCCCATAGAACTAGGAGCCAGCAAGCCATCTGCACTTCCAACCCGCCGGCGCGCCTGCACGCGGCACCTTCAGCAGATGCTTCGAGCATGTCCGGGCTTTGTGTTTGCGGATAGTCTGCTTACTTCAGGGCATCATTTGTAAGGGCGAACCGGGGAAGCTGACAACAATAATTGTGCCCTTGAAAGCAATGCAACGGAAAGCGGACTGTGGATGTCTCGTACAACTGTTCTCAAGACATGCCGACCATGTTGTTCAAGTGCAAACCAACATCTTTAAATTATGTAAATTATGTATATCTCTGTATATATATACATACACATACTAATTATGTAATTTAAACAATCCCCCCCAAGGTCCGATACGGCTCGAAAGCAATGCTATCACAGTCACACCTATAAACAAACGTCGACCATAGCGTGGGGGTCGGCCAAACTGGGGTCGGTGGGGTAGGTGCAGAGGGTGAGTGGGTGATCTGGGTGGGGTGGGTGAGGTGGCTGAGGTGGGTGGGGGGATGGGTGGGGTGATAGAAGGAGTTGTAGCAGTAGCAGTCATAACGGTAGTACTAGTACCTTGATCATGGATTACAGTTGTAATGAAGGCGGCGTAACAAATAGGTGTATGTAATGATAACAGCATTAGTACCACGACTAAGGACCTTGTAACCAGCCACAGCAACAGCGGTGCAAAACATGACAGGTCAGCTTTTGCCAAAATATCCAAAATGCCCGCGACGACTGATATAACAGATGTGTTCCATCGAATGACTCACAACCCAATCAGCCTACTGCTGATTGAAGCACACAAAGTACATATTGTATACCTGCTCAGGTGTTGTTGCTGACTGCTTGCGAGGAGCATCTTCTGATTCTTCTTCGTAAGAAGCGGCAAGCAGTACGTTCTTCACCTGCTCTGCATGAAAACTCGGAAGCAACCGTTATCTTCCTGCGAACACAAGCTATCAGAGCCGAACATGCTCCTCTCACAGTTTGGGCGGACCGACGACATGCTTGCAAGATCTTTCAAGTGTTGACATACTCAGGTCGCACGCTGTCGGCAAGGTTTCAGCAAGAGCTCAGATCCAGACTGTGTGGACGAATGTGACCTGGCTTGAACTCCGGTACTGCGTCTCAGTCCCATTCCTCGACAATTTGAGCCAGGCACGAAGTCGATAGGCGTGTCCGGAGCCTCAGATCAAGCTTCCACACATCTGGATTCTAGATCGTTGCAACGCGGATGCCCCCCCGGTTTAAGATGAGTCGCAGTCTGGACTGACCTCATGTATATCCTCAAGGCGTCGTCCGTCAGTGGGGAGTCAATGAGCTGCCGGAGATGAAACCTAGACGAGGCAGTCTGACAGCGACGGTCAACGTTGAGCCAATGTGTTGCCTGCACAACCAACCTACAGCTATGCATTGGATGTCCTAACTTCTGACAGCAATTGCTTTCCTGTTGCGACGTCTCTCCGAGAACAACCATCCATGACGGGGCTCGACAATCGATTATGACGACAGTCTAGATGCGGGCAACCTGAAGCAAGTGGGCAAAAAGTGGCCTAGCCTTCTCCATTTTCTGTCTCGAAGGCTTAGGCTTACCGTTGCATCGCATCTGTAAGGACCCCACATGCAGTGCGCCAGGCCCATCTGAGGGACTGTGCCATCCATGCGCGGACCCAAAGACATCCAGGTCCTACAGGATGCTAGAGTCTGCGAGAGACAGCTGCATTTTCGGCTACAGAGCTGTAGCAAGGAAGTGTGATCAGGGATGCCTAATGCAGCACGAACATGAATTTTCTCAAGCGCAGCGAGACCCGGATCTTCTTCCGCTGTTGCTACTGCTACTGCTGTGCTTTCCACAGAACGATCATCACACTCAAGGAGCAAAACCTCATCGTGCCCAGCTTTCCACTCGTCGCATCGCCCTTAAAACACGCAGCATCACGCACTGCATCAGCAGATTAAACAAACAGGTTGTGCACAGGTTGTGCAGAATATTCACGATCGTGCGTGTGGACAATGACGGCGGAAGCCAGTACATTCAAAGTTTCTGCCTGACCCCATGCAGTGCCACGATGTGGTGCCTGAAACTGGACTAAGCTGGAAGACATCTTCACTATGAACACTGCAGGTTGAAGCTTTGAATGAATGGACCGATCTTCTGCAATATGAATACTGCATGCCATGTAAGTTAACACTCAGTTACTGCTTGTTGCAGGTATGTGGAGTGGGTGTTTGGCCAACCTGATTAGATTCCTGCAATAATAAGAAGCTTGTCGACTGGAAAAGCGACACCGAGCCGCTGGGTACCAAGCAGAAATGTGAACGCACGAGGTGAAACGTGATGGACACTTACCGGCGGATCAAATCGAATGATGGTGCGCATCATCATTCTCACTACGAGATGCAGAAACTCCCGAGGCTTCGAAACAGCCTACCACTCTATCCCGCCAGATAGCTTCTCATTCTATGTATGCAGTCCAGAGGCACAACGAATGCCAACATGGCTCTCCGAGCCTACCCGATCTTGTCTCGATCAGCTCTGGACAGAAAATTAAAGCAGCCAAGAAGCGGCACCACGCGGCTCCCGAACACTTTTTGGGAAACACCCAAAGCAATTTCACAGATGCGAATGGTACGGCAAGTAGCTCTGGGTCTGGGTTCTGATCTGCGCAGTTCTGCTCTGACTCTATTCTTTGCAGAGTTTGCTGGTTTGGGGGTCACGCTGTCTCACCGGATCGTCAAACCACAAGGGATGGGCGGGACGTCTCCTGGACCCGGAAGTAAAAGCAGAGCGAGCAGAGCCCCAAAGCCGAAGCCTCACATTTATTCGAAGTGAACGGAGCCTACACAGGCTCGGGTGAGTGTCATGAATCTTTGGTCAGCGTCCTAACTTATCCAGCACCCTTGGAAAGACATCGAGTGGTCCGTGGCCTTGGCCAACATCCCACACCTATGCAGCTATGATATGGATTCCCATGTGTCCTGAAAGCCGCTCATTTCCTTGAAAACTTCAGAGACTGGGATTGCTCGCAGAAACCAGCATGAACGTCTCCTCAAACAGCAGTCTATTTGTGCGCGTGGGCCTGTAACTGATTGTTGTCTTTGGTAATCACAGTGCACGCGGTTCATGCAGGTCTTTGAAAGCGGAACCTCAAGTCAGATTGACTCCCACGAAGTTACAAGCTCAAGACTTCCCCATGAAAAGCCCATGGCACGGCCTGGCAAGGCAAGGTATGGTGGATGAAGACGGGGACAGCAAGAACACGATCAGAATTTACATCTCCTGGCCTGCAAGTTGGCCGGTGCACTCGCCATCTGATGCGGGCTCAGGATGTTTCCTCACTTAAGCCACACATACAAACTTAAGATTGTCCAGACCGGCAACAAGTAACAACAGCGCCAAGGTCTGTATGGAAGTGTAGACTTTGAGGATTCGCGCGGCCTACCAACCCCCTACAGTGCACACAGTATGTATTGCCGAGGAAGTCAGCAGGTTTTACCACCCGCGGGGCCAATTCCAGCTCAGTAGCT